AAAAAATCATAGCATCAAAACATATGTATATATACAGATACATAATGTCGGTGATGGTTTCTGCAGGGCAAGGTGGCACTTGTGACCGGTGGCGACTCCGGCATAGGCCGGGCAGTCTGCCACTACTTTGTGCTGGAGGGTGCAACCGTTCACCTACGTGAAATCTCACGAGGATAAAGATGCACGGGACACCCTCCAAATATTAAAGCAAACAAAGGGCAGCGATGCCAAAGACCCAATGGCAATACCGGCTGACTTAGGTTTCGACGAGAATTGCAAGAGAGTTGTCGACGAGGTAGCCAACACCTATGGCAGAATTGACATTCTGGTCAACAACGCGGCCGTGCAGTACAAGGCAAGCTCGGTTGAGGAGATGGATGAGGAGAGGCTTTTGAGGGTGTTCAGGACTAATATCTTCTCTTACTTCTTTATGTGCAGGTAACTATTTCTCATTTTCAAACTATGCTCAGCAATTATGATCAATTTTGTTTAGGATGCCAAACCATGTGCTTTATTAAATAAAAATTGAGTTAGCTTTGGTACATTCATTACTAATTGAAGATAATTTATTATATAAATATTGTGAAAAAAGTATTTTTTGAAGAGAAAAAAATTAATTTAACAAATTTTATTTTTTTTTTTGGACTATTAATTACATCTCAGCACATAATTGATTAGAATAATGTTTTAAGCTATTTTATTGGTGGATATAATCTACAGTAGTAAATAAAAAATTATAAATATCATTTGATTTTTATACTTAAAAAATAATTGACTCTCTATTAATAAAACTGACTTGATAAACTGATGTTATTAACTAGTAGAACGTAAAATAATCAGAATATATTGTGAAATACTAATAAAATAGAGAGATATTTTTTATTTTTAGTTTTTTTATAAAATTAAGGGGTCGTCCTCTATGCATTTTACAAATATATTCATAAAATGTATACTTCATAAGAATAATAACTTCTCAAAATTTTGGGGGGCCAAAGCCCCTCCTCTGCAATTACATACTTGGTTTGGAAGAATTACTCGAATTTGTGTATCCAGATTTAATTGAATTATTCCAAACATAACTCGCAGTACATTAACTTTAAATCTAGGCCGAACTTACTAGAATCGTGGATAGAAGATGATTAATATGATATGATGATAACAAAATTGAGTTTTGAGGGTAATGTAATGATAGGCATAGTTTGAAGCACATGAGGGAAGGGTGCTCCATCATAAACACCTCATCAGTGAATGCATACAAGGGCAATGCAAAGTTACTTGACTACACAGCCACAAAAGGTGCAATTGTGGCATTCACCAGAGGGCTTGCACTTCAGCTGGTAAGCAAAGGAATACGTGTCAATGGCGTAGCCCCCGGTCCAATATGGACTCCACTTATCCCGGCATCATTCGATGAAGAAGAGAGTGCCAAGTTTGGGTCTCAAGTGCCAATGAAGAGGGCAGGGCAGCCAAGTGAGGTTGCACCTTGCTATGTCTTCCTTGCTTGCAATGCTGACTCCTCTTATATCACTGGCCAGGTCCTCCACCCCAATGGTATGAGTTCTCTCTCTCTCTCTGTATGCGGTATGGTTAAGGGTCTTTCAAGGTGACTGTAATTTGTATCCTTCAATAATGTCTCCAATGTCAACTTTTAGTACATTATTCTCTATTTATTGACTGTGCATTGAATTTTTTTTATTTTTTATTGGGTTTTTTTGTTTTTGCAGGAGGAACAGTAGTGAATGCATGAAGGGTGTGGGTCTGTTGGTGGTGGTGGTGTTTTGTTTGTTGTCTAGTCTTTTTTGTTGTTTCGAGTAATGTTTGAAATGGGTACCGTGTCAAGTGGCGTTATATGCCTGAATTGTGCAGCAGCAGTAGGTTTCTCCTATCCTATGATAGATGTAAGGCAAGCTTTTGTACTTTATAACCTGTAAGATCACCCTTAATGTTAGTAAATAAAGATCTCTCTCTCTCTCTCTCTCTGTGATGTGTGTGAGCAGCTTAATTGTCCCATATTCAAGTCCAAATCATTTTTGTTGTTGAGCATGGAATTGTAAATTGTAACAGCAGAAATGACAATTGGCATGCATTCAGAGCATCTGCAATCTTGGTTCAATAAAAATTATGGATAATATTAGTAGTAGTCTCAGATTGCATGATAGTGGGCATTATTGCGGTGTTTCAATTAATCACCTCTTACGGGAAGTTTTAAATTAATCACTTTTTACGGGAATAACATGGTGATTCACTTTTCTAATGGTGATTTTCTTAGATTGGAAGACAAAAGATTGTCTATTTAGTATGTTGATTACTAATGTAACATGATATTTCAGAGTGTATTTAATAATAATTCTTGAAAATTTAGAGCATTATTAATTTGTTAGTTGACTAACTAAAAATTTACTTTTTTATTCGGTCACTTTTCAAAAACACTCTTTAACAATACTCTTCAATAATACTCTACTATAGTCACATTCAAATTTGGTAGGCTTGTGTAGGTTTTTTGGAATTGGTTAGCTAAATCTTTTCTTTTTTTTTAATGTGAGTTTTCAGCTACTGGAACTCGAGATTAAAGTTCAGAGCAGCCTTTTATACTGTGTTTGGTTGAGAGATTTGGGGAGAAATTTGAAAAAGGAAAGGGAAAAGGTGTTTGAAACTAGGTGAAATATAGGCATGTTTTATTCACATTTTACCTACCTTTTCCATTTCCCTCTCCAAATCCCTCCCCAAATTCCCCAACCAAACATAGTGTTAGTAGAAATAGGGAAGCTAGTGGTAGAAATAGGGAAGCTAGTGGTTCAGTTAAAGGGACAGCCAGGTCTGTAGGTTGGCACCGGATCTTTCGTTCTCAAAATTTTAAGCCTTGTTTCAATGTATTACAAAACATCAAAATCTTGGCCATTCTCTCAATGTATTTTTTGAAACTTTACCCTTGTCTCAATGTATTCCAAAACATCAAAATCTTAGCCCTTGTCTCAATGTATTTTTTGAAACTTATGATGTGATCATGCGATTGAGAATGTATTTACATAAAGAAGGGGTATCAATTTTGGAGACAAAAGATCCATGTCTATAGGTCTTGAAGAATGCTGTGCTAGCTATGCTCGACTTGAAACAAATCATATCATGTGCAAGGTACAGACAAAAACAAATTTTGTAGTGTGCATTGATTGTCCCAATCAACAATAGATAAATACAAGACATCTAGGAAACAAGTAGAACATGAACAATATAAGATCATTATGAAACTTTGTAGGTCTGGTGATAGATTCAACTCATTTAACAGGTGATGATAAAGTTGTTACTCAAACTAGAGATGATTCAAGTAGACTTCAAACAACAAATTATCCCAATAAAGATCTCTTCTTGTTTCACCAGTGTCAACTAGCTAGGGTTGAAAAATTCGGAGAAGTCAAGAACCAAAACAAATCTGTTATCAAATCCTAAAAAAAAATGAGTCAAAATTTATACAAATTTTTTGTACAGAGAGTGGCTCCGTTTACTTGTATACCTAAAGGATGCTAAATGAATAACGCTTTAACAACAAAGTCAGTCCAATCAAATGCTCTAAGGTTGCAATAGGATAGGATTCATAAACATTTTTAGGCCATGTTTGTCTGGGTGGACATAAGCTTGGGATTGGACTAATAGTCCAATAAAATTATTAATCCGATGTTTGGTTAAACAATTGAAGTACGGATTAATTATTTTAAACTTGACTATTAGTTAAGATAGGATACATAATCCATCGGATTCGTAGTCTTAGGACTATTAGTCATGGGAATGCTAATCCAGTCCGTCCAAACAAACATGGCCTTAATGATTTGCATACCTACAAAATGAGAAAGACACGTGCAACCTGTATAAGATGATTCAGATTGATATCTTCCATATTTGGATAACCTTTTAGCTGTTTTTTTTTTTTTTTGCCTTTTAGCTTTTTAACGAGCCTTTTTTTCATTAAGTATTCAATTTTTAAACTTTTTATAGGCTTTTAGTTTTTATTTATTTGTTTACCCATGCCAAAAATTAAAAATTGGTTAAAGAAAAAACAATACCCTCCTGCCAACAACATCAAGTAGAAAATGGGGTCCAGACCAGAACAGAGAGGAAAAATTACAGTTATTAATGCATTGTATATTTCAACTTTATGTATAGCTTTGACTTTTTATAAAATAGGGTATTTTTAAGATATCATGTCATGTTGTGCGTGCTATGTTTCTGAATGTTTCACACTTAGGTCATGTTTGTTTGGGTGGACATGAGCTTGGGATTGGACTAATAGTCCAATAAAATTATTAATCCGATGTTTGGTTAAACAATTGAAGTACGGATTAATTATTTTAAACTTGACTATTAGTTAAGATAGGATACATAATCCAACGGATTCGTAGTCCTAGGACTATGAGTCTTGGGAATGCTAATCCAGTCCGTCCAAACAAACATGGCCTTAATGATTTGCATACCTACAAAATGAGAAAGACACGTGCAACCTGTATAAGATGATTCAGATTGATATCTTCCATATTTGGATAACCTTTTAGCTGTTTTTTTTTTTTTGCCTTTTAGCTTTTTAACGAGCCTTTTTTTCATTAAGTATTCAATTTTTAAACTTTTTATAGGCTTTTAGTTTTTATTTATTTGTTTACCCATGCCAAAAATTAAAAATTGGTTAAAGAAAAAACAAAGAAACTAATAAATAAATCTGATCCAAACAAGACTTATTCAACAGCAAATTACACATTCATGAAACTAAGGTCCATTTGGGGTTAAACTTGTTTAAAAGATGCTTATCTGGAGGTGCTAATGAAATAAGCTGTGACTATTAATAAAGGTTGTTTAAATTTTCTGAAATAGTAAAATGCTGGGAATTGTCACTTTTACTTGGCAGCAATTTTGAAAATTGTTATAATTGATTGTATTTAATGGACTATATTTAATAAATAAGCTAAGAAACACCTCCATAATCAGGATATCTACTTAATTTTAAGGCACTCCTATCATTACAAAACAACTTGTTTGGTGCTTCTTAAAAATAAGAAAAAGCACCATCAAATAATCAAAACCCAAACAGGTTAGCATCTATTTGGAACCTGGATGCCATACAATTTTACAGTTATTTCAAACAACAGAAAGCAGGAAACGGGATCTCAAGCCCACAGTTATATTCCAGGTACTTCACAAGAACAGAAACAAAAAGGTGCCTAGTTTGTGCAACAAAAATAACAATGACAACAATAATGTACATACACCAATTATTGACAGAACATGGTGAGAGAAGCGTAAATCTTAGACATAATTTCAAATTGGAGCAGCAATTCTTACTAAGATTAGTGCCTGTTCTGAGAAAATCAGGACGAAGAGTGGAAGGAAATCTGAAGACCATTCCCGCCAATTCCAGCAATCAAACATTGGAATCCACAGGTCTCAAGCTCCGCAATTACTTTATCAACAATTGTTCCTGATAACACTGATGCATGTAGTCAAAGGAAACATTTACAAAACTAATATGGTTAAACACATGTATTCATAAATTGAGTTCAATGGATTTGCTTGCTCACATTTTTTTCTTTTACTATGACGACTCAAATGCATGTATAGACTCATGAGAGAGCATAATTTTATTAAAATGGACGCTTGAAATAAGGATTCTGTCACTGAACCCAAATCCTCTTCTAATGGCACTTCAAAATTAGTCATATTTAGAATCCCAATAAGCTCCCAGATTTTTGCTAGTCATTAATAATCTTTCTACGATAATCTGTTAATCTAATTGAACCCATGCCTTAATTTTTGGATGAGAAGCAAACTGAATCAGTAGTTTAGAAAAAGTAACAGGGAAAAAAAAATCTAGAGCACCATTCCACTTATCATTGATGTTATGATCCTATTTCTCAAAACCTAAACAAAGGTAGTCAAGGGAATAATTTGTCTGAAATATGTATGAAATATTATCTATGTTCTAATGCAGTGACACACCTTCTAAAAGTGACAACGAATGTGACATGCATACAGATGCAACAAAGTTACAAACACAGTCAAGAACAGAAAAAAGCATCTAAAGAATTTCAAAGCATGTTATGCGATAGGGCGTCATAGAGAAAATATAGCAGATAGAAATACTTAAACATACAAAAATAGAAAAGCGCAATCCAAAAGGAGAATAATAAAATGGATACAGGTTGGTAATAGTGTCAGGACACAGCCTCCACCACCAGCTCCTGAAATATGTATGAAATATTATCTATGTTCTAATGCAGTGACACACCTTCTAAAAGTGACAACGAATGTGACATGCATACAGATGCAACAAAGTTACAAACACAGTCAAGAACAGAAAAAAGCATCTAAAGAATTTCAAAGCATGTTATGCGATAGGGCGTCATAGAGAAAATATAGCAGATAGAAATACTTCAAGTTTGGGAAGACTAAAAAAGTGCACTTTTTGTCTTTTTGGACTAAAAAATTGAGGTTGAAAATATAGATTTTTGGGTTAACTTTTTGACTTTTTATTGAAAAATGTGTATTTTTTATGGAAAAATGTGTAATAAAAAATCGTAAAAATTGGTTTGTAGAGGAAAATTTGAATGGGGAGTTGTGCAGCCGTAATTGTTGACTTTTGGTGAATAGTGTTAACTTTTTAACTTTTTGAGTAACTTTTTGGCTTTTTGGCTTTTTTGGAAGTACCCAAACTTGGCCTAAACATACAAAAATAGAAAAGCACAATCCAAAAGCAGAATAATAAAATGGATACAGGTTGGTAATAGTGTCAGGACACAGCCTCCACCACCAGCTCCTGTCAGCTTGGTTGTCAATTTGTATTTCAACGTTGTTCGAATCACAGTTTCAATCGAAGCATGGCTGACCCCCATACATTGGAGCAACCCTTGATTCATTTCCATTAGTTCTTGTAGTTTGTCTTCTTTCTCAGTTACCGCAATGTCATCATCAGCAGGTGATTGGAGAATGGTCGCCACTTCGTTGCTGATAGAATCAACGGCCTTAAAAACAGCAGCCATTGCATTTGAGTGTCTGACTGTCCTCTCTGAAACGCTAGCAACCAATGCTTTTGTGTTCCGGCCAACTTTTGTGTTAGTTATGAGCATTTTAAGTGGCGTATTGGACTTGAGACATGTCAACTCCCCTGACCTAAACTTGATCATGTTGCCTGTTACAAAAACTTCATCACTTGCTAATCCAAATTCCGAAGTCATCTTACATTAAATAAGCTGAAAAGATGAGAATCTGTATGACAACATTAAAATGATATAAACACCATGTTTAATAAAGATATCAGGCATTGATGATTCATCCCTAAAACATTACCACAACTACCAAACCATTCTTATAGTCGTTGTTACTGTTGCTGCAGCTGCTTTTGTAAATCATTTCTAGTCAGAATGGGCCTGTTGTGATGAAAAAACTGCTAAAGCTAATTCTTAGCCAAAAGAGATGACAAGAATGGATCTTACAAGACTGAAATTGTATGTTCAATGAGTTTTCTCAATTAGTTGGAGTTGATGCGAGACATAAAGGCGACGAGGGACAGGGTCATAACAACGGTAGCCTTTCTGAGTAGGACTATAACCTAAAAAGACACGGAGGACAGACTAGGCACTAAGTTTGGTCCTATCTTTGCAGGAAAGAAGGACAAAAAGGCAAACCCAAACACATGAAGGAGGGAGTAGTTAGGAATTTGGGAGAACAAAGCCTCATAAGGAGACCGACCAGAAAGAATGAGAGTAGGCATGCGGTTGAGAAGAAAAGCAGCAGTAAGAACTACCTCCCCCCAGAGTAGAGCCGGAACTGAGGTAGAGAGAAGAAGAGACCTAACTGTCTCAAGGAGATGACGGTGTTTACGCTCGGCTCGATCATTTTGGGCAGGTGTATCTGTACAAGAAGTTTGGTGAATGGTACCCAAATTGGCCAAATACTCACAGAACTCATTTTTAAAAAATTCCCCACCCAAGTCAGACCATAATACTTCAATTGTAGACTCAAACTGAGTAGTAATCATAGATTGAAAGGTACGGTAGATCTGATAGAAATCGGACTTATGAGTCATAAGATAAACCTAAGTGTAACGGGTGCAGTCATCAACAAATGACACATAGTATGCAGAACCCCCTTTGGTGAGAACAGGAGAAGAACTCCAAACATCAGTATGAACTAAAGAAAACGGTATTTCAGATATAAAAGTACTTTTACGAAAAGGTAAGGCTGTCATTTTGGCAAGTTTACACCCCCGACATTCAGTAAGTTCACTAGGAAAAACTTTAGCTAATATACCTGACTGAGCTAAAGACCACAAACGGTCAGCAGACAAATGCCCTAATCTAGAATGCCACAAGTAAAAAGGATTGGACAGAGAATCTAACTGAAAAGAGAAAAAAACAGTTAGAGAAGTTGTCATAGGTAGATGCAAGCTCTCCACCACATAAAGGTCTCCAACTCTGCGGTCAGTCCCAATCTGCTGCTTGGACATCCGATCTTGCACAAAACAGATAGAAGAAGAAAATATAACATCAAAACCGGAGGCATCAAGCTGACTGATAGATAATAAACTGACAGATAACTGAGGAACATAAAAGACAGATAGAATAGAGACAGCAAACATAACAGACGGTAAGACAGATCCAACAAATATAACAAACATACTAGACCCATTAGCAGCATTAACAGTAATAGGTAAGGGAGGGGGAATACAATTTTGAAGTAAGGAGAGATGAGGAGTCATATAATGAGAAGCACCCGAGTCAAAAAGCCAAACAAACGAAGAGATACCTGAAGAAAACCCAAACAAACTTGAATGAAAAGAGGAAACAACTGAATCAGACAAGGAGGACTGGGAGGTAGACAGTATATACTGAAGTTGACTAATCTGAGTCCTCAAGGAAGCTAAGTCAGGATCAGGAGTCGGAGCAGATGCAGTGGTACTGATGGAGGGACGAAAAGTACTCAAAGGAGGAGCTCGAGATTGGGTTTGAGACTGTTGAGAAGACGTGACAGGCAGACGTCCCTTCTTGGGACAGTGGTACTTCCAATGGCCTATCTGATGGCAGAAGACACACTCATCCGAAGCCAGAGTCATCATAATAATCAGAAAACTGGAGGGTTTAAGTGTAATAAACCAAGAACTGATGAGTCAAAACGTAATAATCCCAAACAATCAACAAATCACCGTAATATAATACAGACACTTGTACTGATGTGGTCAAAGTATAATAAGGACAAAACGGACTAAGATCAGGGAACTAATACGACGAGATAGAGCTTTGTGATCAGAGACAAAGAGAGAGATAACTTCATCCACACCAACAACGAAACTAAGAACTTCGAACACCAGAGACTGAGACTGATCAAGAACTAGACAATCAGAGAGTCAGAGACTTGTGATCGCGATCAAGCTAGAGACTGTCGATCGAATCAGCCCAACGAACCACGAGGTGTGATCGATTAGCGGAACCAGAGAGAACCAGAGAGGGAGATAGGCGCGAATCAATCGCGATGCTGAAGCAGACTGAGTGAGGCGACGGCGTGAGAGGCGTCGGCGATGGCGACTGCGTGAGAGGCGTCGGCGACGGCGACTGCTGAAGTGACGACAACGACAACGACGGCTGAGAAGCGGCGACGGCTAAGAAGCGACGACGACGGTTGAGAGAGGCGACGGTGCTAGGGTTGAGAGTCAGAGACTTGTGATCGCGATCAAGCTAGAGACTGTCGATCGAATCAGCCCAACGAACCACGAGGTGTGATCGATTAGCGGAACCAGAGAGAACCAGAGAGGGAGATAGGCGCGAATCAATCGCGATGCTGAAGCAGACTAAGTGAGGCGACGGCGTGAGAGGCGTCGGCGACGGCGACTGCTGAAGTGACGACAACGACAATGACGGCTGAGAAGCGACGACGGTTGAGAGAGGCGACGGTGCTAGGGTTCGCAAAGATTGATCGCGACCTTAGGTTTCGAACACGGCTCTGATACCATGTAAGATTTCTGAAAACTTTTCTGTATATTCAACTTAAGTCTGTTTACAAAGAGTGCATCAGTTATATAGCCCTAATCAATGACAGAAAAAGGAAATATAAAGAAAAGGAATTTCCTAATTCGTAATATACAATATATACAACATATAGTCTCACAGAACATTTAGGAAGTTACAATCAGATAGACTGTTTGTTGCACTTTACCCAACTTTATTCTTTCACTTCTTAAGCAAAATCCATTTCTCCCACTTTCACTTTCTTCACTTCAATAGATAAACTTCTTCATCATGCAATTGACAGACAATTTGCTAAAGAATAATTTTCAAGTCATTAAAAAATTATCAATTTGAACGACTAAAATCTGAAAAAAAAACATCATATTCTTTAACCTTTTGCTACTTTTTTGACAACTCTTGCTTAAAATTTCAGAAATCATAACCAATTTCCTTCCATATTTTGCCACTTAAATATATAGATTCCAAATTGTGAATGGCATTTATTTCTCTTAAAAGCGCAGTAGTTTTGACGAAAAAGAGGGGGAAAAGGAGGTGCTCTTGTTAAATGTGAAAAGGCTGCATCTAGCCACTGTTATGAAGTATCACATACCATAAGTGCTCACTGTGTTGTCAATACCAGACGGCTTCCCATGGATTATTTTTTCACCTTCAAAAGCCCATTTGTTCACCAATTCCAGCTCATTTTCTCCAAACATTAACCAACCTTGATGACCAAAATCAAGATTCACAGATTCCGACAAAGCAAGCAGGGCAGCTGAGACTGACACACAGAACGCTGCAGACGAACCCAAGCCAGAGCCAAGTGGGAGCTCAGAAGTGATAACAACCTTTGCAGGTTTATACCTGAAACATAAATGGAACCAAGTCAGAACATAGTAACATAGGGTTTGTTTGGAATGTTCTAAAAAAGCCTCTCTTTTTTCTTTTTTCTTTTTTGTGCTAAATAATTGAAAAAGTCAAAAAGCCAGTTTGTCATCTGATTAAAAAGCCAAAAAGCCACTCAACTTATCACTCACAAAAAAGTCAAAAAGTCACTCAACTTTCCAAACACATCAGCTTTTTTCGATTTTACATAAAACAAAAAGCCAATTGTTTAGAAGGGTAAGCTTAAACCTAGAAACTATTATCAAACACACCCTTGGATGGAGATGTATAGCCAGAGAAATGCTGAAACTCCAGCAGCAAGTGTAGTATTTGCCTCTAGAATATTTTGTTCTTCAACTAGAGCAGCAATTAATTTCATTGCCTCTGGTGAGCACGATGCAGGTGATGAGGGAATTTGACTACCCAGCTTATACAGGGCTTCTTTAATTCTTCCGACTGGCCAAGCAAATTCTAAGGCCATATCCTTCAAATGGAGCTTTAATTTATCATCATTATCTACACAGAGAAGATAATACCAATGAGAAATCGAGTCAACAGCAAACCCAACATCAAAATACAAGAACCATCTTTAAGTGTTATGAAAAGAGAATTATACACAGGCTATAGTTTAAATAAAAAAAAAGAAAAAGAAAAAGAAAAAGATCTAGTCCCTTTCCAACTAGTAGCACCAATAGAAGCTTAGTGCCAGAAATTGCATGGAAGAATAACGACATGATATAGGATGATCTCTGTATAATCCAAACCCAAATTGATCATCTCTTGAACATAAACTAAGATGTCATGGAGGAATATTACCTTCAGATAATTTTTTATTTTTTTATTTATTTTTTAAATATTTCAGCTTTCATCTCATTCCAAAGCTAAATTGCTACAATTCTAACCAGAATTTACACTTTTAGTCATCAAAGCAATAATTTTTAAGCTCTCAACCTTAGATTCAAAATTTCACGAGCTCTAAAAAATATCATTTTTACATTGGAGGTAGGCTACCAGTAATGTCCATTTGCACAAACAACAAATAGTTTACAATGTTTGCGTGAATTAAAAATTGATCCTTTTAATTGGAATCCCAATACTAGAAAAGTAGTAAGAACGTCATGATCTGTCAATCTAAATATTCAAAATATCATGAATCAAGGTAAAGTATTGGAATCCCAATACTAGAAAAGTAGTAAGAATGTCATGATCTGTCAATCTAAATATTCAAAATATCATGAATCAAGGTAAAGTTTTTAAATGGCAAACTAGTTGTAACTATTAAGCAATGACTGATATCAAACAACATGCAATTCCTTTCGAAGTCACTAGTTACTAATCACTACTAGTAGTGATTAGTAATTATTTATTAGTAATAACTTCATAAGGAATAGCATTCAGTACTTTCTGCATGATTTGACTGAAAACCAAAAAAAGTTCATAATGTTTTTTAGGGGTCATAAATTGCTCTGAAACCATGTCTTTTGTTAAAATGTGATAAATTGGGATAAAACATGCCTTTTGATGAGTTGCTTTAGCTTTGCTTCTAATTTAAAATAATAATAATACCACAATTGTCGTAGCTGATTCCTATAAAGCCTTGAGTGGTATACCCACAGCCACTAGCATTCCACAACCTTTTTTTGTTGTTTTGTTCTTTTTTCTTTTTTGTTGATTCCCTAATTTGATCATTTTTACACTATCTTAAAAATTAAACTTCACTAAGATCTGAAGATCCATAACTGAGGATACTTTCTTCATTTGTAATTGCCAAGTTATGGTAAATTTCAAGTTACGAAGATCCATAACTGAGGATACTTTCTTCATTTGTAATTGCCAAGTTATGGTAAATTTCAAGTTACACTTCAACCTTTCTTTATATTTCACAACATTTGAAATTGGATACCAAAGGCCAGGTCAAAAAGTTGGTTATTGAATACCAAAAAGCCAATATGTTCCAAAATTTGACGGAAGACTTTTAAATATATATATATATATATATTATATATTACCAAAAAGGTCTTCAAGTGATAACTAATAGTGTTTACACCACATTTTAGAATACAAAGAATCAAGTGCAAGGATTCAGATACCCACCTTACCTTGCATTTACTTGGGCTTTCATTAGTTTAGTTGGTCGTCAATACAAAAGTTCAATAAAATTAGCATCTTTTTTGTTTTTTTTCTTAAAATAAATTTCCAATTATTTCCTGAAAAACTTGAAAAAGAGTTTGCTCTGTCACATTCAGTATCATGACAAACATAAACTACAATTTCCATATCCATCATCCCACAACTAATGGTGTATTTGGTTAGGGAATTTAGGGAGGGATTTGGAAAGCGAAAGAGAAAAGGTGTGTGAAACTAGGTGAAATATAGGTATATTTTATTCACATTTCACCTACCTTTTCCATTTTCCTTTCCAAATCTCTCTTCAAATCCCCCAACCAAACACAGCATAAACCAAACCAAACTAAGCTTCTCCGTCTCAATCAAGTCGGATCGGCTACATGATTTTTTTTTTTTTTGGCCACTCCACTCTATCAACAAAAACCGCAAAAATTTAAAAATAGAAAATGGAAAATTTACCAGACAAGAAAAAACATTATCAATTAAAAAGTGGCAAAAAGAAAGTAAACTGTGGATTATTCATATTCAAAACCAAATCGAAGTAAACAATGAGAGACATTGAATGAAAGATTAAACCAATCACTAGTTCTGTGAATGTTCAAAAACGACTTAACATCACTAAAAAACCTCAAAAGGGTAATTTCAGAACACATTCTTGAGTAAACGCGAATGAGCAAGCAGTGTCCAGCCAATTCAAATAAGACCGAGAGCAAGAACAGTAAGTAAGGTAGTGTTTGGTTCAGTGGAATGGAATGAAGTAAAATCAAAATATTCCTTCCATGTTTGGTTGACTAAAGTGAAAAAATAAATAAAAGTACATCCATTGCATCCATCTGATTTCCAATGAACCAAACAGAGCATAAATTAATTGGAAAAGAATGAAAGAGATGGAAAAGGGATGGGGTGTGGGCATACCAGAATGAGTGGGAAAGCTGAGAGAGGCGTAAGTGTAGAGATCGATGGAGGCGGCCACCGCCGTAGATCCGTGGACTACGGCGTGTTCGCCGGCAAGTATGATTTTTCCAGGAGCTCTTGTTCTCACCTCCATTCTCTCTCTCTCTCTCTCTCTCTTCCTTGCTCTGCTGATTGTTTGACTAATTGATCTCTCTCTCTCTCTCTCTCTCTCTATACGTCTGTGTATATATATATATGATTAGATGTTGAGAGAGTCGTAGTTAGCGAGCGGTGGGGATGGCGGAGAAAGCATAGAGGAACATTAGAGACGAAGGGAAAATCGATCGCAGTTTTTGGTGGCTGTTGTTAGCAATACTGGTCTCACTCGGGTGGCTGGCGCGTGCGATTCTATGCTCGTGTAACATCTTGACCACGCTCGGATTTTCAATTTGCAACTTGTGTGCTAGTAAAAATTCGGATCATGATTCTTTACGGAGATTAGGCGGCGTAAAATATCGTTTAATTTATTATAATTGTATTGATTTGTAATAATTTTTATTTTTTTATTTGTTAATTGTAAATTAAATTTTAAATTTTATAATTCATCTTTAAAATCATTCTACTATGTTCTAATTAATATATATTTTTTAACCTCTAATAATATATTAAAGTAAAAATAATTATGAGAAAGATTTAAGATGTGAACTTTATTATAAATTATTAGTTATATATATATAAAATGAGTTTGTGTTATATATATATATATATAATATTATATAAATTAATATTATATATTATGCAAATACTTGATAATTAGTTCGAATATTCTTCAATTGGCCAATACGCCCAAAACCACTAAAATGGCGATTTGCCAATCCGCTAATTCGCCACTCGATTTATAATTTTGCTCTCAAACTGTTCGAACTGTATTACGCACACCCCTAATGGAGATACCTCTCTCTTTATATGGTCTGGAGATATGCATGTTGGTTATTTAGTCGGTCATTTGGCGCAATCGTTCGGCTAGTCATCTAGTAGGATGCCGGTCATTTGGACGGATGTCAGTTGATGCACTGGGAAACTAGGGTGACAGTCGTAATTGATAAGGGTGATTCTGATTATCCGAACGATTGTCAATTGGCACACCGGTAGACAAGAGGTGACAGTCACGATTGACAAGGATGACTCTGGTCATTCAGAAGATCGTCGATTGACATATTGGTAGACAAGAAGTAACAGTCATAGTTGACAGGGGTGACTTCGGTTGTCCGAGAAGTTATCCGGGTGGACTTTCGTCTTATTCAATTCAGGTGTGCAATCTCAGTCGCAAGATACCTCGTTAATAAGGTTGTATCATCTCCTCACATTTCTATACCATATGGAAAGGGAGGTATTGTTGGAAAATTTGGTTTATATAGGCATATTTTGGGAAAACTTTGAACCCAAAATTGAGTGGGCCCCAATCGTCTTTTGGGGTGGATCCGAAGAGGTGAAGTGTTCCTTACCGCGTGACAAGTCACACGGTGAAGACGACTCGTCAAAACCATTTACAAGTGAATGAGAACATGACATCGTTTTCGGGTTCGTGGAATAGATGGTTAAAGAAGTAAATGTGGGTTTCTTTGAAATGGGTTGTCCCACATTGAAACTTTAAAAGAGCTTTTATGTGTATATAAGCTCTAGCCTACAACATTGGGTTGGGCCCCAAGGAGCACCCCAAGTTTGTAGAAGGGAGGAGTTATGGACAAAGTGAACCTTAGCCCAAACCACCACACGCGCAGCCACCGCCGCTATCCGTCTGGCCGAACCGTGCCGGGCGCGGGTGTGGGTCGAGTCAGTTTTTGTATTAATTTTTTGGATGAAATTTATTTGAATTTTAATTAAAATTAAATTCAAATTTTTGTGCCAAAAATTGAATTAATTTTCTGTTAAATTTATCTCCTTCAGTCCGAAATTCCACAACTTTTAAAACAGTTCAAACAGGTCTTACCTATTGAACCCGAACAGGTTTAATTTCGGACAGGTTTTTTAACTGCCAATCTGTTATATACTTCGGACAGATTCAAATTTGAAAACACTGCCCAGACAGGTTCAGCAACTGTAGCAGTTATCTGTTGGGTTCCTGTGTGCACCTATTCATTTGAAATCACATATGTTCATTCAAATTTGGAACCTGTTCGGGCAGCAGTGTTTGTCTATAAATACAGCCATGATTCCAGCAAAGAGAGTTTAGAACACAAAGTTTGGTTCGCCGTACAATTTTGTTTGGTGTGCTACAACAATTTTGTGAAGATCATTGTATCTTGGGAGATAGACGCCACTCAACCGTAAGCTCCGTAGCGGAGTGAATCTATCCTAAGGACAGAGTGTCACACACTCGACTTGGTCTTTAATTATTTTTTCGGTTCAACAAAATAAATTCTATAAGTTTTATTTTATTTTGTTTGAATTATTTCAATTTATTTTATGTACACAGAAGATTGTTCCAACAATCTTAAGACATATTAGAATTATTCTGTTTACAGAATTTTTCGTTTGTTTCCCTTTCTCTTTCTTCTTTTAAGAAAATTATTTTCTGTGAATTTATAAATTAATATTCTGGTTGAAAAAACAAATACTGGTTATATGCTATTTGACAGATAGTAGTAATATACTGTCTCTTTTCTTTAACAACTAGTAGTAATATACTGGTGTCATTAACAATTCAGAATATATATTTGTGGAGTTTTGTCAGAAATTAATTTTAGTTTTCTTAATTTATTTCTGAGTATTCATTAATTAAAAAATTCTGTTTCAGTTTTTTTTTAATTATTGAAGTGTTACATAAATTTAATTTACTGTGTGGAGTTAATTTGGTTAAATAAAATTTTATTTTATTTCCAAATTAATTGAAAAATAAAAGTTACATTCTTGTTTCTTTTATTTTTACAGAATTTAATTCTGTGAATTTGGATTAATTTTCTATGTAGTATAAATTCTAATTATAATTTTGTTTATAAATTAGAATTCATGGCTACTGAAACAAATGCTCAAACAAGTACTACTGTGATGGCTGCAACTGCACTAACCCCCTCTCCTGTTGTGACAATACCGGTAAATCATGGTGAGAAGCCAGAGAAGTTCTCCGGAACTGATTTTAAAAGATGGCAACAGAAAATGTTATTTTATCTTACAACTCTGAACCTGGCTCGTTTCCTCCGTGAGAATGCTCCTATTTTGAAAGAGGATGAAACCGACCGGCAAGTGGTTGCTGCGGTTGATGTCTAGAAACATGCCGATTTCCTTTGTCGGAACTACATCTTGAACGGACTTGACAACACATTATACAATGTCTACAGTCCTATCAAGACAACAAAGGAACTTTGGGAGTCTTTGGAGAAAAAATACAAAATGGAAAATGCCGGCTCAAAGAAATTTGTGGTTGGCAGATTCCTAGATTTTGTAATGGTTTATTCAAAATCTTTGATCAGCCAAGTTCAAGATTTCCAACTCATTCTGCATGACATTCACACAGAAGGCATGTCTCTCAGTGAATCCTTCCAAGTTGCAGCCTTAATTGAAAAATTACCACAAGACTGGAAGGAATTCAAGAACTACCTCAAACACAAACGCAAAGAAATGTCTATGGAAGAATTAATTGTGCGTTTGAGGATTGAGGAGGACAACCGCAATTCTAAAAAGCGGGCTGGTGAGCATCCTATGGAGTCTAAGGCAAATATGGTGGAACATGCTTCAAAAACCAAGAAACGAAAGTCTACTGGAGAAAGTTCATCACAAGGCTCTAAAGGGGGGAAAATAAAAAGCACAAGTTTAATGGCAAATGTTACATCTGTGACAAAGAGGGACATCGGGCCAAAGATTGCCATAGCAAAGGCAAAGGCAAAAGAAGAACAAGCAAGAAGCCTGCTCAAGCCCACATAACTGAAATGAACAATATTTCCAACGATGTAGATGACATCAATCTTTCTGCAGTTGTTTCTGAGGCAAATCTTGTCAAAAATCCTAAAAAATGGTGGGTGGACATTGGTTCTACTCGCCACATTTGTGTCGACAAAAAGATGTTCACATCTTATTCTACAGTGGACAATGGTGAACAACTCTTTATGGGCAACTTCTCAATTTCCAAAGTTGAAGGACAGGGAAAGATTGTACTTAAGATGACATCTGAAAAGGAACTCACTCTCAACAATATACTGCATATACCGGACATTCGCAAGAATCTTGTTTCCGGATCTCTGTTGAGTAAGAATGAGTTTAGACTAGTATTTGAGAGTGATAAATTTGTACTTACTAAGAATGAGATGTATGTAGAAAAATGTTACATATCTGATGGCCTTTTCAAGTTAAATGTAATGACCGTTGTACCCTCAGTTATTAATAATACTACATCTTCTTCTTACTTGCTTGAGTCTTCAAATTTATGGCATGGTAGACTAAGACATGTTAATTATGGATCTTTGCGTAGATTAATTAATATGGAATGTTTACCTAAATTTGACATTGATTCAAATCATAAATGTGAAATTTGCGTTGAGACAAAATTATCTAAAACTCATTTTCATTCAATTGAAAGAAGTACGGAACCACTTGAATTAATTCATAGTGACATTTGTGATTTTAAATCAATTCAAACTAGAGGTGGGAAAAAGTATTTTATCACTTTTATAGATGACTATACTAGATATAGTTATGTTTATTTAATTCGAACCAAGGATGAAAGTTTGGAAACTTTCATTCAATATAAGAATGAAGTTGAAAATCAACTTGGTAAAAAAATCAAGAAACTTAGAAGTGATAGAGGTGGTGAATATGAATCACCTTTTGATGAACAGGTTTAATTTCAGACAGGTTTTTTAACTTCCAATCTGTTACATACTTCGGACAGATTCAAATTTGAAAACACTACCCGGACAGGTTCAGCAACTGTAGCAGTTATCTGTTGGGTTCCTGTGTGCACCTATTCATTTGAAATCACATCTGTTCATTCAAATTTGGAACCTGTTCGGGCAGCAGTGTTTGTCTATAAATACAGCCATGATTCCAGCAGTCTAAGGATCCGAAAATCAGTCTGATAAATTCCTTTTGCTGTCCAGATTTTACTTAGTGCATTTTTCTTCATTCTAGTTTTAGGAAAAAATCAAAGAGAGTGTAGAACACAAGGTTTGGTTCGCCGTACAATTTTGTTTGGTGTGCTATAACAATTTTGTGAAGATCATTGTATTTTGGGAGATAGACGCCACTCAACCGTAAGCACCGTAGCGGAACGAATCTGTCTTAAGGACAGAGTGTCACACACTCGACTTGGTCTTTAATTATTTATTCGGTTCAACAAAATAAATTCTGTAAGTTTTATTTTATTTTATTTGAATTGTTTTAATTTATTTTATTTACATAGAAAATTGTTCCAAC